GGAAGACTCCATATTTAAACCTAATTAGCCCGAGCTCCTATGGTGTGATATGTTAACGTAATCTTCTTAAACTTGGGGCAAACTTTGAATGACTCTCTTAAGAATCTGCTGAGCCCTGACCTGTGCAGCTTAGTTGGTTGGAGCGTCATCCCATAAACCAAAAGGTCGCAGGTTTGATTCGTGATCAGGGTGCGTGCCCATGTTGTGGGTTTGGTCCGAGAGAGGCAACCTCTGGATGTTTCTCTCCCTCTCTCCGCCTCCCTTCCCCTCTCTCTAAAATTAACAGGCCTGTCCGCAGGTGAGGATTTTTTAAAAGCTGCTGAAAAACTAGATTTTTTTGTGAAAAATAAAATACATACCCACAGATCTGAAGCTGGTGTTTCAGTCCATCCATCCTGAACCTTTTCTTTGAAAGCATCCCCTTACTCTCCCCCCAGAGATGGCTGGTAACAGACACAGGAAAAGCACGTTTGCATTTGATATAAATCTGTTCGTGAGGCGAGTCTACTGTGCTCTCAAAAAAAGTGTCTGAGAATTCCTGAAAACCCTGTGCGCTGACTTGCTTTCAGGAAGGACAGGGGTGACTTCAGCTGCCTCTGTGTTCTGGCCTCTGGGAAGCTCACAATGACATCGTATTCTCAGCCAACACAATGAACACTCATCATTAGCATTTTCTTCTGTCCCAATGCTTAAATTTTAGTTTTCCTTGTTAATTTGCTTGTTTATATATCACATACATGTGTGCGTGTGTTTAAATATGTATGTATTTTTTCTCCAATTTTTTCCAGCTCTCCAGCTCCTTCACCCACAAAAAAAAGGCACCAGAAGATTTTATTTTTCCAGTCTAACTTTCCTGGAAACCACTTTTAAATACATCTGATCAATGTGGAAAGCGATCAGTGCCTAGATATGCAAAACTCGTAACACACAAGATCTCTCAACCCAAAGCCTTTTTTTACTAGGTGTGAGGTGACCTCCCAAAGAAGTTTCACCCGTGGAATTCACAGCTAAAGACACTAGTGTCTCATGCTTTAGGGCACCATCCTTACTTTTATGAGCTATTTCAAGCTCAATGATTATGAAGTCATCCAAAAACAAGAGCAGGATTGTGTTGGTGTGGACATATGGTCTTTCTAATCTAAAGCAAGAGGCAGCTACCAGCCCTAAACCATAATTTACCAATCAAGTCCTCCCCAACTTGACTCCTGAACATCCTGCCACTCCCTCCTCCCTCCCGGAAGGCAAATGAGTTCAAACTGGACACAGCCCTCCGTCGCTCCCAGAAAAGAAGAAATCCTGCCATTTGACATTTGCACAGAAAAGTCCTCAATGTTTCTTAAGCATCTTCTGCTGGATTCCTGAGAGCTCACTGGGCCACAGACCCAGCTGGGGTTTTGAGCTACATCCACAGTATTTTCCTAGAAGGGCAGCAGGCAGAAAGTGGGAAAACGCATTAACATGCTAATGACGTCCTATTTAAAATTCCAATCCTGATTATTCTGTGATTAAATCTCTCCCCTTGACGTCTGCTTCCTCTACATGTGAGTTACAGCATGAAATCAACAATGTTAGTAAAGTACAATACAGATTACCAGCCAGGGAGGGAAACCTGGGACACTCGGGGCTGTCTTCTTTCTGCAAAGCAGATGTAGCAAACTGAAAAAGTTACGTTTTTCATCCCACCCTCCCTTAAAAAAAAGAAAACATTGCAATGCACAATAATTAAAAGTTTACGGTTAATTTCCATAAGCATTCAGGGGTCGAAAGATAGACTGAGCTTTTGATTCTCTTTCAGTGCACTGGAAATTGCTCAGAATTCATACACATCCCCCTGAAGTCTCAAGAGCAGCTGACAAGGATTAAAGTACGACCCTTTCTCCCTGCTTTGGAGACAGGCGCCACTGTGACACAGGTCAGCAGGTCCAGTGATGTCTCGGTGTCCCTCTGCCCGTGAGCCTATTTCAGTCCCTGTCATCACACTGTGCTGCCTGCTGACCCCCAGGCTGACCGGCCATCTCAGGCGACACCAGCACATTCCATGAAAAGCTGTCAAACTTATCTCTGCCCTCATGACATTGGAAAATAAATGTTTGAAATTTTTTTAAAAGACCCAAGGTGTGGGTCTATAATTAAAAATAAAAGAATATCTGGCCCCAGTAAGCAAACAAGTATTTGTGGTACATTTACCATTTCTGAAGATTCCCTGATGGACCCTGCAGTGGTCCCCCAATGACACATGAGAACAGAGCTGTGACCTCAGAGGAGTTACGACCTGGCCGGAGTCAGAAGGCGAGATACACGGTCTGACCCTAGGCAACCAAGTCCCTCAGGGATGAGTCACCACACGCTCACTGCTCGTCAGGCAGGCTGCTCCCGAGCTACACCACAAAACGCCCGAGGCTGCGACCGCCCCCTCTGCTATAGACTCGGAGCCCCTGGCTGGACTCGGGCAACCATGAGACGGGGTCAGCCGTCGCGCCCGAGCGTCACAGGCCGAGGGGTACAGATGAACAGGACAGAAGAGTCTGGGGCCCTGGCCTCCCTGGAGTTGCTCGTCCAGCCCCGAAGTGCCTTTTTCTCCCGAAAGCTGCACTCTGCACCATTGCTGGAAATCCAAATCTGTTTGTAGGCCCACCACATAAAGTTCATTTCCTAAATAGTCTTTTTTCAAAACGTTTTGTCTAATATGAAAAAGAGTCAGCTCAGTCCTGGCCAGTGTGGCTGAGTGGACTGAGTGCCGGCCCATGGACCAAAGGGTCATTGGTTTGATCCCCAGTCAGGGCACATGGCTGGGTTGTGGGCCAGATCTCCAGGAGGGGTCCCACAAGAGAAAACCACACATTGACGTTTCTCTCTCTCTCTTTCTCCTTCCCCTCTCTCTAAAAATAAGTAAACAAAATCTTTTAAAAAAGAGTCAGCTCATGGTACACAAATGCCCAGGCCCACTGTTCCTTTGTATTTGCTCCACCTTTCAGCTCAAGAGCTTCCCTGGGAACATTCAACTGTCAAAACCCACCAAAGAACAGCGGATGGACTTTGGCCTGGCTTTGCTGCATTGTAAAAGATAAAAGCTTTACCTGACGAAGGAGCTCCTTATTTATTTATTTATCCCTTGGTCCCCTGCCCTGTCACCAACCCGGGGGTATTCACTTGGCGCCCCCCCCAGCCGAGCCCCCTCAGACTGCTTAAAAATTAGCCCCAGGCAAAAGCGTGGAGAGAGGATAGCTGATGCCGCAGAATCCAGGCACAGGCCCCAGCACGCATTCCCAACAGTAACGAGCCATCTGCAGTTTAGAGTCATCCGTGCTAACAACCTCCCACTCCACGTATTTATGTTTTATTCATCATTTCCCAAATACTTGGTGAAGTGACAATGATGAGATTCAAACAATACTGTACAGCTCTTCCTTTAAAGAAAGAGATATTAATGGCTTTCAAGAGCTCAACGGTTCCAATGAACATGTTGCTGTACTAAATTTGTCTAAATTTGTTCACGTCTTCTTTATTCTTAGGCATAGTAGGAGATTCCTCACTTTGTGCCAAAACTGGTGTGGTGAGGATATGTGAAACGTCTTAGGTTTCATTGTTTATCCGATTTTTACAAGTCGGGAGCAAAACTGTATTTAAAACACACAATGCTCATTTCTATCGGAACTTAAAACCACACCGTTACACCTTGGGGGGAGTGAGCTGCTGTTTCTTGGCACACCGAGGCTCAGATGTGCAGTCTCTTGTTATGTATTTGGCAAAAATGAGGCTCCGGGGAAAAGTGAAAAAAAAAAAAAAGAAGCTCTGAATTGAGCCAATGTTGGGGTGTCCATAGCTAAAAAGACAAGGTAACGTTGAACCCCCTAACTCCACGAAGAAACCGCTATAAAACTTAGCAAGCCTTTCAGACTAACTTTACTCCTAGTAAAATGTCACATCTAATTTCAGCTACCTGATTTCAAAGCTAGCTACCTAATATCCCCAGTCTTTTCCTACTTCTGATACAATGAGCGTACATTGTAAATACAGTTACTCTCGGTACATGTACCTTCCATCTTCCTGGTAAACATTTACCCAGGGGCCACAGTGTGCTGTGTGTGACCTCTGCCCCCCAGACACCCAGAGTTCCCTGGGGAAATGCAAGGGCGCACGCACCTCCTTGATAAGTTACTTCATTTCGTCTATACCACTTAATGAAACCATATGACAGGTATCATTTTCCTCATTTTGCTGGTAAGGAAACAGGTTCCACCATCCAATAGATTTTAAATCTGGATTTGCGTCATATGATTTCATTCTGCACATTAGAAACTGAATCACCATAACTTCGCTTTTTTTTAAGAAGTCAGTGTTTCACTAAATTTGGACTGAACTGGCATCTTATGAGACCGTCCCTCAGGGAGCAAACCGCGAGATGCCCTCAGTCACCCTTAACAAGGGCAGGGGCCGAGGAACAGGAGGAGCGAACCCCCTCCAACAGGCAGCCGCTCTGGCTCAGGCCGCTCTGGCGCCTCCCATCTCATCCCTCAGGGCGAGCAGCTCCCAGAAAAGCTCCCGCAGAGAAGAGGCCCTTCACGGGCTCTTCTCGGTGCTCTCAGCATCAGCCTGCTCTCGTCCGCGGCTGTTAGAGCCAGAACACAGAGCCAGAGGACAAAAGGAAGATGCCTGTCAAACCGAGAAAATTCTCAAGGCCTGTGCCAAGGGTGAGATTGCTCCAAATAATCACAAGGCCATTAGCACATCCAGGGAGAGGAGGGGGAAGAAGAGAGGAAGAAACAAAGGACATCACATGTGATGTGAAACAAAAGCTGCCAGGAAATTCTACTCCACTGGCCAAGGCTCCTGGCAAAAAAGAAAAGAAGAAGAAAGAACGAACAATCATTCAGGAGAAGTGTGGTGGGCTCCAGGCCACCCTGCCCGTGACGTCCACATGAAGCCCAGAGGGACCCGCCCGGCCAAGCCACATGTAAATCTCATGCATACGTCACCAGGCGACACTTGTGCCTTCTTACCGTGGGCCGCCTTCCCATGGTCCAGGTCCCTCCGCAGCCGGCTGTAATCCTCTCGAACGCTCCCCAGCTTGCGGACGCTCCTGGAGCTCAGCACGGACAGCGTGTGGAGGAGTGCCTCCAGCCCTTCCCGCTCCGAGGCCAACGCTCTGATCTCCTCGGTGAGCTCCTTAGCTGTCCCGAAATGGCTGCCTGCAGCGCATCGCGAAAGAGGGGAGGAAAAACACGTTTACAGCGTCCCCACACACAGAAGGTGCAGCCACAGCTAAAGTGCACTAACAGTGCACAAAGCCGGTGAATTTGCAAGGGTGGGCTTCTGCGGGGGACGCTGGACGGGCACTGCCCATCCTCCCTGAGCTGGAAGCACCGCCAGCCCCTTTACCGCCTTATTCCTGTTACGCCTGTTCTGATGGTTCCATTGGCCAATTCATGTCCTGGGGAAGCCCCGTTGTATCCGGACATTCAAATACTCAAATGTCAAAGAGGTGAAATACTAGGGTCAGATGGAAAGGGACTGGGCCATGCAGTCACGTGAGACCGAAAGTCAAATCCTAGTCCCCCTGTTACTCTGAATGGCACACGGAATGACCTTGAGCAAAGAATGTATCCTATGTAGTGTCTGGGCAAACTTCTTATAAAATATCATTGCACCTGCTTGCTAAGTGGTGGCGAAAATAAACATGAAATTCTGTAAGGCACTGAGCAAAACATATGGCATACTGAATTTAGCGAAGTCACAGGATACAAAGTCAAGAAGCAAAAATCAATTGTATTTCTCAGTATCAGCACCAAACAATTAGAAGATGAATTTTTCACATACACGAAATACTTTAAAAGTCAAAACAGCTATGGGTAAAATGTTAAGGAACATGTAAGATGCCTACACAGAAAACCATTTTTAAAACTCAAAGAGAAATTAAAGAAAATAAATAATTAGAAAGATACATATGCATACATTGGAAAATTGAATATTATTCAGATTACCATTTTCCTCCAATCGATCTACTGGTTCAATACAATTCTAATCAGATTCTCATGTGTGTCTTCTGTAGAAACTGACAAGCTTATTCTAAAATGTAAAAGAAAATGCAGCCACCTAGTTAGACCAAACAATTCTTGAAAGGTAGAATGAAATAAGAGGATATACACTACGCGAACTTGAACTAACACTGAAGCTACAGCATGTCAAGACAGAATGACAGAGACAGACAGACAACCAGGTCAATGGAACAGGACAGACAGCCAGAAGTAGACCACAGTCGTCTGGTTTTCACCCAAACACCAAAGCCAGTCAGTGAGGGAAAGAGAGTACTTCCAACAAATAGTGCTGGAGCGTGCGTTCCAGGAATGAGAAGGTTAGCCGTGTGCCACAGCTCAAACCACGCACGAGACTGAATTAGAGAGAGATGGCGGACCTGCTGCAGAGCCAAAAATGATAAAGTTCGTGGAAGAAAATACGGTAGAATCTCTCTCTGACTTGGGAGTAGGCAAAACATTTTGGATAGGACACAACAAACACTAACTATAAAAAAAGCATTTGTAAATGGACTTTATCAAAATTTAAAAACTTCTACCCGTCCAAAAAAATACCGTTAAGAAAATGAATAAGCCAGCCTCAGCCTGGGAGAAAATACCCACAATACATATACATCTGACAAAGGACTTGAATCCTGCAACTCGATCATTAAAACATACGTGACCCTGTTGGACAATGGGCAGAGGACTTCACAGTCACTCACTCTGTAAACCATGTGAGACATCCAAATGGCTCGCAGGCACATGAAAAGGTGTTGGTCATCAGCGGTCACCAGAAAAAGGCCAGTTAAAGCTTGAGGGTCACCAGCAAAGCATGCAAGCAGCTCACGCTCACTGGACTGCGATTCGGCTTGGCAAGGCTGTGGAACACCCAGAACTCTCGGTCTCAGTGGGGGTGTGAAAAGGTGCAACCAGCCCCTCGCAAAGGTAAACACACAGCTCCCCTTTAATCATCAATTCCACGTCTCGGCATTTACCCAAGAGAAATGAAAATACAGCCAAAAAATGCTCTCGGGTGTTCACAGTGGCTTTACTCATGGCAACCCCAAACTGGAAAAACCCACGTGTTCAGTAAGACAAAGATACGCACACGCAGTGAGAGTCCACACTGCGGAAGACGGCTCAGCGAGAAAGAGGTACCAACCCGCCACGCACGCCGGGACATGGAATTATTTTAAAAAGGACACAAAAGATGCACTCCACATGATTGCACTGATGTACGTTGGTACCTTTTTCCCACAGAGCACTCCAAACAGGCAAAACTAATCCATTGGAGAAGCTACCAGAACAGAGCTGTCTGGGGAAGGGTGGCCCAGGAGGGGGGCTCATGTGACGACTGGGAGGGAGCGCAGGTGATGTTTCCGGGTGATGGACAGACCGTGATGGGGCTGCTGACACCCCAGGGGTCAAAATTCACAGAACTAGACTCTCAAGACCTGCGCATCCCACTGAAAGTAAAACACGTCGCTATAAAAGAGGGGAAACACGGGGCTGAGCAAACGTGGGTTTACGGTTGTACAAAAAACGACACAAGGATTAATAAATAACCGTACAGGAGTAAACCGCTGTGTGGAGTCACAACTGTAAACCTGCTTTCGCCTCACACCGTACATTGGGAAACGTTTGAACAGGAAAATTACAGCACGCATTAATACGTACATCCACTAGTGAGTGCTCCACAGGAGTCGGTTACAGCCAGCGTCACGGTGAGAACTGCAAACCTCGTTTAAGCCTCGCTGCGACCCTGGCAGGGAGGTGATGGCTCGAGGTATCTATCCCAAGATGCATTTTTCTTAAACATGTGCACATCTCTCATCTGGGGGTGAGTCTTACAGCCACTGTTAGCCGGGGGGCAGTCCGGACAAATGTGTTCCTGCGTGACTGTTGCTCTTGGTGGCCTGACTGAACATACACCCCATTAAGGGCCACTGCAGTCCCAAGTCCTGCTGGAAACCTTCTGTGGACAAGGACTTGTAAGATCGGGAAAACACAGCATTTAAAACCTGAAGACCAGTGTCAGGGCCTTGGCAGAAAAGCCCACGGAAAACGGCAGTTCGTTCCTGGAGGGAAAAAAACCACAGGCATCACCAGTAGCTTCGCTGACACAGAGCGAGGTCACGAGGAAGACAGGACCTTCAACTATTTGGAGTTGAAACACGTTTCAGAACTCGGGCTCTGAATAGGAGGACTTTTTAGGGAAATGTTAACTCACCCATTTTTATCTTTTCCTTTCTAAAGAGTGATATGTGCTTTTTTAAACAGCTCAAAAACAACTAAAAGAATTATTTCAGTAAATGTGGAATAAAAAGTCCAAGCCGCAGTGAGCATTGTATTGTTGTGTAATGGAAAGCAACTTTTTTCTTAGCGGTATGTAAAGTAACCGTGGTGCATTTTCTGTTCCCTGAAGGACATCTGCTATCTCTACAGTCAAGCAGACTGAAGTCTAGAGAACTGAGTGTCTCACTGAAGCTTACGAAGTAATAAAATACAGGGCAAGTTTCCAACTCAAACATAACTCCTCTTCAGTCCTAAACCGTGCTGTTTACTTCTTCATTATTCTTCTTATTTAATAGGCACATTTCGATCTGATATAAACATGGCAAAGGTTACAAATGTCTTGCCACTTCAGAGGCACTCTGGACACCCAGCAGGTACCACTTCTGTCCCTGACAACCCCAGTGTCCAATTGCAGGCTCACATAAATACCTTCTGAGACTCTACTTATTGCTTATCACGTCATGGAAAAATACAGAAAAGAGCCAGGCAAAGCCCTGCTTCCCAGGAGGTTACCATCAAATAAAGGGGAGGAGACTGTTGCAATAAATGGGCACACGTGCAGTAGCAGAGCTCAGAGAAGAGAGGTTGCTCCAGAAGGGGAGGCGGCAGCAGGTTCCACGAGGGAAGAATGCAAGGTTTCCAGCGGAGACCTGGGTGACCTGGTGACATGGCGAAGAGCCTTGTCTGCCTGGGAGGAAGCGCAGCGACAAGGAATAGGTCCTAACACCAGAAGGCCCCGATGGCCAAGCTGGTGGGTTTGGACCCAATGAGGGTCCAAAGTCCCAATGGGGAGGGTAGACGAGACTACCACAAGCTTTGCGTTATAATAGAAATACAATGAAAACATTTCCCAGATTTGTGATTTCTATCCTGGACAATGACCAAGTTAGGGCTGTTGTGGTGGGAGCCCCGATGGAGCTACCCACCCTGCTCTGGCGGGGGGCCTGTGGAGGGCCCACCCTGGACCCCTCCCCGTAGGTGTGACTGCCTCCAGGAGGGTGGACAGGAGCATCTTGTCCTGTGTTCCAACGTCTCCTCTCAGCCAGGGCTCAGGAAGCCTCGGCCCTTCTGTCGGACCCCGTTTCCAAGCGCAAGATTTAACAAACAGCGGGGTGGGCGCCCACTGTGCGCCCCGAGACACCAGGCAAAGTGCACCTCTGTGTGCAACCTCCTCCTGAGACTGGTTCGGGCAGAAGAGGCCTCGCAAAACACACTGGGGGGGGGGGGGGGGCGGGCAGGACCAGAGTCAGCAAGGGCCCGGGCAGAAGGTTCGCCGGAGACGGCCTCAGACCCTCGGGCGGCTCATCCCAAGCCCTGGGGCCTAGGCCCTTAACACACTCGAGAGGTCGCTAATTAAATCCCGGGTCCCCTCCTGGAGCCTGAGGACTATGGCTCGGGAAAATGCATAGTGACGGACGTGTTACACATGCAGAAGGAGCTGAATTCCCAGAAAGACACTTCACATCGAAGCGCCAGCCGCGACAAAATGTTGCACTGCCCTCGGCCCACATTTCAGGGGCAGGCTGGCCTCAGTCCCGAGCCCGGGAGGGTGAATCGCGCTCCTGGCTGGAACTGGCCAAGAGCTCCATGAGGAGAATTCGGAAAAGTATGAAGTCCTATCCCTGAACAGAGTCCCATCAGTGACCTGGTGACCCCAGTCTCTGTCGCCCTAACAGGCCCTTTCCTAAGCGCCACAGGGGCATTGCTATGGAGACGGTTGGCCCGCCTCTGCCACCGCCCTACACAGGTGCCAACCGACTCACAGCACGGGGAGTGAGCCTGGGCGTGCACTCGGCTTTCTTAAAGCACCTGTCAAAATATTTTATGCTATCAATAACAAAATTAAAAACCTCTAGGCATACGGTGAAGTCGAAGCTGCT